TGGCTGGCCTGGTGTATTTGAGATTCACCAGGGAACAAAGTAAGAAAGATTTAAGCAACTGTCAGATTCCTTGCCTGCAGGTTTGGACTCACCTTGTAAACATCGTAAGACTCAATCCTGCTGTCAAAGCAGACGTACAGATTGTTGAGCATCTCAACAACTTGCAGGGGAGTACAGGAGGCAGCAATGCTCGTGAACCCCACGATGTCTGAGAAAAAGATCGTCACCTGTCACAGGGAGAAGGAAGGTGTGAAGCTGAGCTCTCCAGGCAGCAGCAGTAGGGCCTTTGAAGGGTTTGGGGGTTTGTGGAATTCAGAACAGAGCAGCCTAAGGCACAGGCTGCACAGAGAACCAGCGCTGCAAAACTGAATGGATATAATCCTAGATCAACAAGCTCTGGCTCAGAATTGTTCTCTGTTACTTTGACAGATAAATTATGTTTATCTCCAAAGTTTATCATCTGCTTCTCTGAATCATCATCACTTCTCTGAATACCTTGAGCTAGATGGGAGACTGAAAGTCAAATGCTTTGAATCTTGTGAGCAGTGATCTACAGACTTCTTGTAGCAGGGCCTGATTTTTCTTTTAAAGTGATTTAAACTGTGGTAGAGGTCACAGCTAGGTACCCGAACAAACTGCCAAATAAAAACTCAAGTGCTGTCTCTGCTCATGTTGAATTAGGAAATACTAACTGGATTTTGTTTTTCTTCAAGTGATGTTTATCTCTGTCACTATCAAGTAACTTACAAAGAAATTAACTTAAAAAAAACCCAGATTTATAAAAGAAAGAACAACAGAGACCATAATAACTGAATTGAGGAAGGGAAATGTGTGTTATAGCTGTTGGCAAAGAATTAAGTGTTTCTTCTCTGTGCTGCCTGAACTTTGACAGTCTTTAAACTAAAATTGTTCTTGTTTTTGTCTTTGACGATGCCAATTCATCCAGAAGAGCCACCTTTTCACTCCCTGCCTTGGTTCAGCTACTTTTGAAGTCATGACTATTGTGAATTGTAATTAATTGTGCAATTACAGGTTGCTGTTTTGATAATGACACCTACAAATTAAATGCAAACATTTATTATTGTGTTTCACAGCTGAGAGTAACGGAGCATCCAGGGGAAGAAGAGTGAGTAGAATTGCAATGACTGTGGCAGGAGGCTTTAGGCTGTGGTTGTGCAGCACAGCTGCCACATTCAGCACTGATAGCAGCATCCGTGCTCTGAGGCAGAGCTGCAAATAAATGGGTTTCTGGCCAAACTCTGCCCTCATTTTTATGTCAACAGGCTTCGTTACATCACACACTTGAGGCTACGAGATCATCCATCTCTCTCATCCTTCTCTACGTCCCATCACAGGGAGGAAACTCAGTTCGTGCTCCTATGTGCTCGTGATCTAGTGATGCTGGCTGGCTTTCCTGAGTAGGCTCTTAAATGCAAAGATGACAACTTGCCAACATAGAATCTTTGACATCTAAAGCTACACTTCTGGAAATTTCAGCTCTTCTTCTTTCTCCATCAGCCTAAGTGCTTCATGGCACATTGCACAACTCTTTCCAAAACCCATCGTGAATGGTTTGGATTTCCATCCACACTCAGCTATGGGTGCAAAACCAGGTTCCTCAAATGGTGATAAGGTAGGCACTCTTTTAAGTGAATATTTTTCTATCCTTGGTGACAGCATCCTTGCCATTTGCTAACCTGATCATAGTTTTCTGCCTCAACTTTTTGGCATTTCCTTAGCTGCTTGGCCACAGATTTTGGCAACATCTGGTGTAAGAGGTCCTCGGCTAGCTGCCTCTCCCTTTTCAAGTCTTCTGTCTTTTCCTTGATGTTCCTGGCATAAGTGTGTATCCAATCTGTCATTTGCTTGAAGGACATCAGGATGATGGGGTAAATGAGGCAGGCTATCACTAACAGACCAATCTTAAGGCTCATTGTGGACAGGATTTCTTTAGATTTCTTGATAAGCTTTTCCTGTCCCTGCTGCAGTAAGCAGCTCTGTACGTAACGTAGTCCCTTTACTAAGGCTTCAGTGGACATAAATTCATCCAAGCCCAGGAATGGGATGAAAAAAGAGATTCCTTCATAGTGGGTGAAAGGAAGTGATAGATTGACATTATCCATCCAGCACTTCTGTACAGTCTCTGATGAGAGGGTAGCATAGTTCAGAATGGCCACAAGTGCATGCAAACTTGTTTGAAAGCTTGTAGGTGCTGGCATTGAATGAGCTTTAAGCACAGCTTCTCTTAGTCGAAGGATAAGTTTGAAAGCTACGATGTCTGCCCAGTCAGGATTGTGTCTCATTGCTTTGAGGTCTTCATGGGGACTACTAAACCGCTCCAGCAGCTCAGCGATCGCTCTGGAGAGCACCTGGCTGGCTTCAGTGTCCCTTGTGCTATTTAAATTCTGTCTCATGTCGGTGATGTAAAATCTACAGATGGAGATTTTCTCCTTCTTGCACTGGCAATTCTCACAATGCAGTTCTGCTTCGCTTGCCTTACAGAGGGAGTTTAAATTCCCCAGCAGCTGAGCATGAGATGATCTATTCCCCTTGCCTGCTGCTGGGAAGAGCCAGCTGTGCCTTTCTTCCTGCAGGAGCTGGATGAGGTGAACGGCCCAAAGGTTTTCACAGGACGCAAGTTCCTGAAGGGCTTTCCCTGTGTTTCTCCATATTTCCAAGCTGTTGCTCAAATCAAAAGAAATGGCTCCAAGGAGGCTGCAGAGGGAGACCATGCACGCTGTCCAAATCCTTTGAACTGGTTTTCTACCACCAGCACTGGAGGGGGGACAACATCTAAAAAAAAAAAAATGGAGTAAAAAATAAAAAAGAGTGGGGATGTCTGAGCCCTGGGATGTTTCTTGCAGCTCCTGAAAACATAAGTGGAGCTCATAGTGCTGTTTGTACATTCTGAATGTACAGGGAACAGCTGAATGTTATTGAAAGACCTATTGTGTTGTATTTTGTTCCTCCTGACATTTTATTTTAGGAGAAAAGGTGTAGTAAAGAGACTGTTTCCATGACACACTGAGCTGCGAAAACACATGAATGAAATCATGCACTGTGAGTATTAAGACGGATAAAATCATTTGCTGTAGGTTTTATTCTCTGTGGTTCTTCTGTCCAAATTTTAAGTAAGCCTATGAAAAGATGGGGTACTTACTTCAGTGATCACAAACTGGAACTGTTGAATTTTTTTAGAACTTTTAGAATTTGTTCTCAATAGGAATTTCCATATGATGAATAATTTGTGTTGATCTGTTCAAATGAGTTCAGACGTTTCCACAATATTGTCTAAATATTTCAAAATGAAAACAAATCAAATTTCAGTTTTGTTTCAGTTTTTACAGAAGAAAATACATATATAATTTTTACTGTTTGAGCTTCACGATTACCTTTTCTGTTTCATGCTACACATAATTGACATCCGTGTTCCGTACAGCAAAGCAATCTCTGACAATTTTCATTTTCAGAACTATTAATCAATCATTTACAATCTTACGTTAATGATACTCCTGAAAATAACTCGGGACGTTTTGCTGAAGGTGGAGACTCCTGAACAAATGGGCAGCCCTTATTTCCACTGGTGAAGAACAAACTGGGGACTGGGCTGCTGACCAGTCCATTCGGCTCAGTCTTTTTGGTTTTTTACTCTGTGTGGCAGAGGTGATTGAAAAAAGCCCTCCTTAGATCCCCTGCTCTTTCAGATAGGTGAAATTACATTTTTAAGAAGATAAATAAGAACCCAATAAAGCCTGCTATTTCTCAGCAGAGGCTGATATTAGGACAAACAAGTTCCCGCTGAGCTCTTTGCAGCAGAATGGTGGTCAATGGTTGTAAAGTAGAAGAAAAGGAATAAAAGTGCAGTCCCCAAAGATGATAAACAGCCACGTTTTCTCTTATTTAATACAATTTATATTTAATAACGTATTTATTGATTGTCAATCCAAATGTAACAACTGCACAATGTCTGACTGAAAGGAACCGCAAGCCTGGAAAAATTTATCTTTGAACCCAGATGCATTTCTGTTCTCAAAACAAGCTTCCAATCTTTTCCTTCCACTATCTACTGCTTACCTTTGAGTCGCTTGTCCTCTGCAATCATTTTACTATTCAATCCACCAAAATACATGCCAGAAGAAGAAAAACACGACAAAAATCCATCTTGATTTTGTGCTGCCTACCTTTTACTACAATGAAAGAAATATAAATAGGGGCTTTAATTTAGTACCAGGCTAATTTTGGATGTGCTTTGCAAAAAACCCCCATTTCTGTCTGCGTGTCAGCCCACGGTGACAGTTCAGAGGTCTTTGCCTGCCGTCTGAATGACTTAAAAACGAGCAAGGGTCGAGTGAAGGAGGTAAATCCGATGAGATGCTGCCAGCATCCTTCCCCTTGCCAAGTCCCAAGACCACAGGGTGTTCAAACCTCTCTGAGATCATTTTGCAGCCCTCCTGCACTCACCTGCATGGACCTGCCTGTGCCCGTGCTGCCTTCCCTCTGGGCATGGCCCCCGCCTGCTCCGGTGAGTCCCGGGGGGTCCCAGCAGCCACCACCGCCTTCAGCCCCGCTGGGACCTCCCTGTCTCCCCCCGGCCCCCCGGGAGCTGCTCCTGTGGCTCTGACTCTTCCACCAGCCCAGCCTCTCTGCTCCTCTGCCCCAGGGTGAGGGCAGGGAGCTCCAGGGAAAGGCTGTAAAAGGGCTCCAGCAATATCACTAAATCCAGTCTCTGGTCCTGGCAATACGCAGCAAGAAGTGACAGGGGACTCATGTTTCATTGCAAAAAATAATGTTTATTGCAGTCTGGTTAGGTATAATGCTTGTGTTGTTAAAAGCATCATTTCCCAGCATTTCGTGATCAAAGGTGTCATGATTATGACTTTATTGAAACTGTTTTCCTTCTTGGCATCTATCATCCAGTTCTTTTTGGATTAGTAGTTTGCCATAACCTAAAATGCAAAACAAGTGAAAAATCATGAGACCCAGGAATTTGTGAATAGTGTATGTTGCATTGAAGATGAGGGATTTAAGTAACTGAAAGGAGACCTTTTCTTCTCAGTCACTTTTTAGATTAAAGTTTACATTATTTTAAAAAATAATTGAAGTCCCAGACTTGAGCAGCATGTGCTGCCTTCTAGAATGCAATTGCAAAAAGCAGTGTCACTGGTGAATACAAATTTGAGTGATCACTTCCGAAGTCATACCAGTAAAAACTTTATAACCATAAATATAGCTCTAGTATAAAAGGAGAATGCACTGATAAGGGCTTGTCTACAGAGGTTACTCCTATGGAAAGTAGAATCAAAAGTGATACAGCTCCCTGAGTAGGTGGCAGGAATCTGTCAGAGAACCTCAGAAATCACTAAGTCTTTATATTCTCCAGAAGCAGCATCTTGAAACTTACCCACTGGATCCAGTTATTGTAAGCAGACACCCGGGTGAAGACAGAAGGCTTGTGGTAATAGTTGCAGCCAAGGGAAGAGCCGAAGCTGACAATACCGTGCACTTCCCACCTGCCATCAGCACCTTGGCAGTTCAGTGGGCCACCAGAGTCCCCCTGGAAGGAAGGGGGCACACAGTTAATGGCAGTCACAGTATGCATAGCTCCTCACTGTTTTTTTTTTAAGCTTTTCTTTCCATCAGGCTTGTTTGCTCTGAAACCAAGCCCTAAGAGCAGTGCCCTCTGAACTCACATTGCAGCTGGAGGTGATTCCGTCCCCACCAGCACAAACCATGGTGGGTTTCACTGTGCTTCCCCACCAGTTAGACTTGGAGCAAGTGGCGTAATCCACCACCAGCAAAAGGCCTTGCTGCAGGTCATCTGGAAGAGGTCCGTTTGCTGGGAGGGAAGAGAAACAAAGGAGTCATGGTACCAGCTGGGCTGAAGAAAGAACAAAACTGCATTGTGAAGTTTCTTCTAGGATCTGGGTACTACCCTCCAGGTAAGAAACTCCAGAGGAGGTCTGTATTAAAGGAAAAGCTGTAGAACCATTTCCTTAGCGCTGTTCTTTTTTAGTCATATATATATGTATGCATGCCTTAACTTACTAACAATTTGTGTTCCATTTTAAAATGTCTCATTGTTAGAGAAATAAAGGGCTGCTCTTTGTTCAGGAGTTAGCAATTTACTGATCACTCTAGGAATTGCCTCTTGAGCCGAGCTGATGCTTCTGCTGAAGCCTCTGAGATTTTCTCACTTTACATCTATTCCCTTATGTGTCTTTCCAGTTATTCAGGGGGTTTGTTAGCATTAGCAGGATCACCGGGCTGCACGCTGTTAACGTTTGTTTTACCAGTTTCTAAAAGCTTAGGACGGGGCCCTCTAGTGCATTACTAGCCCCGTTACAAGCAAAATATACTTGAAAGGCAGGGAAAAATCATGCTGTGTGAGTGAACTGGGGCCTGATGAACCAGCTCCTACGCTGAGGCTGAGGGCATCACCAGCAGCAGCCTTTTCCCAGTCAACCCCAAAGGAGAGGGCAGTACTGAAAGATTTTGTTCCACAATTTTGCCAATGTCCAAGTACTTACTCTGCAGCCTTCCCCACCCCGTCACGTAGCAGGCGGTGTTGGAGGAGAGGATGCTCTGTGCAGGGGGCAGGCAGGCCAGCTTAATGTGGCTGTTTAAGGCCACGTGCTCACTGAGCTTGATCAGAGCAATGTCGTACCTGTGGGCAAACGCAGGTATTTGAGAGTGGGGAAGAGAAGGGGAAGGAATGAAGAGGTTTGCAAACAGATTATGGCACAGTAGCACGAGCACTTAACAGTTATACAGCACCCGGCCTATTAAAAATTGACGCAAGGCAGCAAGGAGGCCAGTACATAAGCAGTAAAGACTCCTCCACCCTCAAAGCAGTGGAGAAATCCATGGACTGGGAGACTCTTCCCTACAGAATTATCCACTTTCCTCCCGGCAGCTTTCTGGAAATTGCTTTTTATGGATTCTTTTCAACAAAGCCAAGCATGTGTTAGGACTAACTCCAGGGAGCTGGAAACTGAGAGGATTTCTTTGCTAATGCCCTTAGCCTGCAGCAGGACACAGGAGTCCTGCAGCAACAAAGATATTAATCAATAATACTCTGTGTTTATGCTGTTCATAGGAGGGCTTCAGAGAGCGTTGTATAAATTAATTCCCTCCCACTCTACAAAAGAAATCATTGCATAGAACAGCTTCCCACCCAGGCCTAAACATGCAAAATGGCATCTGAAAACACAGTTAATTAATAAATAATTAATATTGAAAGTTGTCTTCTTGACAGGACAGGAGGTAACAGGCACAAACTTAAACAAAAGAAGTTCCATCTAAACATGAGGAGGAACTTCTTTAGTTTGAGGGTGGCAGAGAGGACGAGGCTGCCCAGGGAGGTGGGGGAGTCTCTGTCTCTGGAGACATTCAAAACCCCCCTGGACACGTTCCTGTGCAACCTGCTCTGGGTGGACCTGCTCTGGCAGGGGGTTGGACTAGATGATCTCCAGAGGTCCCTTCTAACCCCATGTGATTCTCTTGAGGGGAAAACTGGAGTCTCAACTCTTATGTATGAGTAAACATTTAGAAGTACCACTGTAAGAGGTGGCTCTAAACATTTATGCATTTAAGTGACACAACTCAGGGTGGGGGGGATTCAGGCAGTTTGATTTTTGCCCTCTATCTAATAACTGAAAAGATACCTGCCACCAACTTACCCATTTGCAACATTCTGTGGATTCCAGTTCTCATGAACGATGATTTTTTCTGGAAAAGCTTCAAATGATCCTTGTTCCACAGCTGCCAGATTGTATTTTCCAAGAAGTACTCGATAGTTCCTAGAAGAGCTGGACAAGAAAAGGAGCAACTGTCATAGAGCTGCTGGTTTGCTGCTCAGGCATCTGCATCCCTGCCACCTGAGATATTCAGTAAGAGCATCCCTAAGACTAATCTCACATCAGATGCATGATTTGTCTGGAGCTGAGCCAACGTCTGATGGATTTGCTAAGGACAAAGCCAGGCTTAACAATAATGTCATCCCCAAGCCGTCCTGCCAACTCCTGCTGAAGGATCATTAACAAACCCAAGATGCCTCCAATCTTTGCAGGATTCGGCTTGTATTCTTCATGAAGTAAACGTCACTCCGTTACGTACCTGATGCAGTGGGCAGCTGTCATCACCCAGTTGGTTGCAATGAGGGTTCCTCCACAAGTATGGTACCATTTGCCGTTTGAACTGTACTGAAGGGAGGCCTAGGATCAACAGAACAAGTAAGGCTCAGATTTTTGCTTAGTGATTGATTTCATTGTTGCACTTTCTTCATACACCCAGAACTTGCTTCTGCAAGATGGTGGGAGGCTTTTAAGCAACAACCTTCCAACTCCTGGATAGAAAAGGTTTCCCTATCATCCAAAAGCTTGATTTCTTTTATTTTTAATGTTGTTTCTTCCAAAGCTATCACTAAGCCTGGCCCAAATAAAGCATTTCATTTGCTTCAGAAATGTATTTTTTAACTCCATGTGTAACTACACTCCAGTAGGCGTTGTATGCTCCACTGAACTTCACAGTCATCTTGCTTGAGTACGGGGTGGTGCCTAAGGCTGCTGAGAGAACCCAAAAACCTGCATAACCAGCAAGAGGCAGCACATTCAGAGCTTTCTTACATAGATTGGAAACTTTGGGATTAGTAAGAATATAACAGTGAAAACCTAAGAGGTATCAAATGAAATATAAGACCTGGTTTTGTTTAGCCATGCTGTGTGAGGGTGGCACAACCCCAGTTGTCCCAGGGAAGGCACAGTGAGACTCACCTGCCAGGGCCAGCTGTAGGGTCTCGCATCTTCCCCTCCCACCACTCTAGACACAGAGGGGGGGTAGGCAGGAACCCCACAGCCAAAGGCTAGAAGATATACAAAATAGAACGCGTTTTAAAAGTAGAAGACATAAAAAAATGTCTGTAAGAGAGGTTTTTTTTAAAATATAGGCTGTGTTTGTACACAACATTGAAAGGTACAAATATAGGCTGTGATTTAACATGGTACAAATGAAGGTACAGCCATCAGTCAAAACTGAACAATGTTATACAAAGCCTTTTTGAGTGGCTTCATTTTTCTTACAGATAATCAAATCAAGTTGGCTCAACCAAACTCATGTGTCAGCTGAAATGCAGCTCTTAACCAAGTCAACAATTTGATGTGGATTAACTGTATTTCAGTGTATTCAAGCTAAGTAAAATAACTTTGAATTTCCTAAAGGCTGAGCAGTGATGCTAATCGAGCCCCTGTAAGAAGGGAATAGCACAGCAGCCAGTTACTGTTCTGAGAGAACAGCCCGTGCTATATCTCTGCTTTGTTGCAGAATGTCTAATTTCCCCAAAGAAGGAAACTAATGCTGGAATTGGGTACGTACCTGCAGCTGCCAGAGCCAACACAGCAACCAGAACTCCAAGCATGATGCCGGTGAGCTGTCTGCTGCAGGCTCTGCTTTGCAGGACATTTTATATGTTATCCTTTATCTCTGCGACACGTGACTTAACAGGTAGCACTATTCCGGTACCAATGGAAAACTTGTGTAATTGTGGGATAAATTTTTATATGCACAAGTGCCTAAAAAGGAAAAAACAGTTTAGATGGACCTTGGATCCAGGCTACATAAACAACTTGGTCAAAAAAAAGTTCTGACTGAGCTGCATGTTATTTGTAGCACCTGTTTGCTTTCCCATTGCCTTGAAAATTTATCACAAAGGTGTTTTCCGACGGAAAATGTTAAATGAGTTATTCTAACACTTGATGGTATGTCAGCAGTAACAATGTCTGATCTATTCAGACAGTGGTAGATTCAGACATGTTGGCGGGGCTGGATTAGAGATCTCTAGGGGCCCTCTTCCAACCTTAATTATTGTATGATTCCGTGATTGCTTGAAATTGTATTTTGTTCTGTTCTATGCCTGATGGCAATTACCACCGAGTACTGACTGAAAACCTGTATCTTCTTTTCTAGCTCCAGTCACATGTGTGTCAGCGTGCCATACTTCTTCAATAAACCAACTGCACTGGCTTTGAAGTGGAAGATGTTTCAAGCAGCAGAGCCCCAGCTGTCAGGGATGACAGAAAAGCACTGGCGCAGCACTTCTGGTGAGCCAGACACCCTTTCTTTCCTATTTACCCTCAATTGTTAGATCAGTAGCACGTCCCTGGAAGAGAATAGGGTTCCTGTGACCCTATTACAACCCTATTGCAACCTTACTGCAAATGGGCATTTTCACACCCCAAATCAGCATGCTGACCTGTGGCATAATGCAGGGTGAGCTCGTTAATGATAAAGGCTAAACCATTTTCACCAATAGGACTGACCGGGCAAAGAGCAGGGATTTACACCACTGCAGAGCTGCTGCCACAAAAGTGTGTGTCCTAATTAATTACTGGACGTTTGAGATCAATGAGTTGGTATCAACACTTATCCCTGTGTCTCTTTCTTCCTTTTTTATTTCTGCTGCTGGAATTTTCCATCCTCTGTCATGTTTCCATCTGCTTACCCTTCACCTGAAAAACTTTTACTGATTATTTAGAAAACAAACATCTGTCTCCCATAAGCCAGGTCACACATCGGAAGCAAACTTATCAGAATGGAACCAGATATCATAATGCCAGCTTTGTAACCGGAGGCGCATTGTACATACAGACCAAACCAGAGGTTTCAGAAAAGCTAAAATAAATCTATTGTTTACTGTAGTATTAACAAGTAGCTAAATCCCTGATTTTCATAGCCTCCATTCACCAGTAGGTACTGGTTTGGATGAGAGATGCCTGGAGCACACATGTGGAAGGCAGAAATACATAACGCTTTGCTGTTTTCTCTGCTTCTCAGGAATGTATTATCCTGCCCAAACAATAGCACTTGAGAAAACTGCATTTTGAATTTCAAATGGAATAAACCAAATTCTGTTCTGGCATCTTGTATTTATTATCCAACAAAAGCATAAATCTGGATTAATTGAGTGCAGACTTGAGATTCTAAAATTTATTTTCAATAATTAGTTGGCTCTCTTCTTAATGTCTGAGTTTTCAAGCTAAACAACATATTGTGCTTTTCAGTTTAACTTCCACGCCACTATAGTTTTCTCAGAATACCAACTAAAAATTAAATGTAAATTTTGGATGTTCAGTTACTGTCCTGATTTTCCCATTTTATGGGTATGCTTATGAACGTGGAATTTTGTTTAGGTTTTTTAAGCACTTCTGCAACCATTTCACAAATAATCCTCTGCTCTCTCGCACACTGTAAATAGAGAAACCCTATTCTTTCTTTTTCCCATCTGTTGTAAAGGAATTCTGAAAGTTCTTTTATTATATGGGGGAAAGGCTCACAAGAATCATCATATTTTTAACGTAAAACACTCTCAAAGCTTTGTTTTATTGTCCACTCCTGCTTTATGTAACAAGTTCTTATCCGTCTTTTCCAGGTCTACTCTAAATAGGCTCAAGTATCTTGGACTCAGAGGGCATCGTGCTGTTGGCAGTTCTGCAAGTGAACATCAAAAGCCTCAGCCTCCAGCTGATACCATGGTGGCTGGAAACAGCTCCCCAGAAGCTCTTACCATCTTCATGCCAGATGTTTCACAGCAAGTGAGCAGTTCTTGGACCTTCACTAAGAAAGAGCAGGAATTTCTGGTATGTTCTGTTAAAATATAATAGCTAATATTTCTTTTGCTACAATTTATAATGTGCTCCGTTGCTTCCCTATCGTCAGTCTGTTCCCTTGCAGGGCAGTAACTATGCTGGAATTACACTAGACCAATTAGTAAGTGGAATGGCCTGCAGATAAGTAAGAGACACTGAAATCTGCTTTTCTGAGGGAGGCTTTTAATCTGAAACTAGGCAGTAACCTATTTAAAAACTCAAATCCTGCCCCAGCTTTTCGTTGGGAGCACCAAATGTTCCAAATTCATTACTTGCTGGAAGGCTGTTAAATCTGCTACTTGACTGTTCCCTGGGCTTGTTTCTGGGTGTTCTTAAAACGAAAGCTTGGCCTGTGTGCTTGGAGATAGAACAAGGTTACACAGAGCCAGGGAAAGGGGGATTAGCACCACTCCGTGTTTCAGTCCCTTGTGCCTTCCAAACTCTCTGTTCCCAGATTAGATCCATTTATGTATTATTTTTCCACACTGTATTTCCTTTTAATCCAAGCACTTTTGTGCTGGATTAAATACTGGCCACAGACGTAACATAAGGCTCTGCTTGTTTGAACTGGGTGGGGAGACAGGGCAGGAGAACACTGACAGGGAGGGAAAGGGAAAAATTAAAAACAACCACACTTCGGTGATCAGATTAGACTGAAAGATATTTATTTAGAAACAACAGCTTTGGTATTTTAAAATCAAACAACCTTTAAATCACTAGAAAGTGGGATGTCTCCCCCCGTAGCCAAAACAAATCAATGCACAAAGTCTCAGTTTGCTTACGACAGGAAACCTGCCAACCAGCATTTCCAAGTGTAAATCCAGAAAACAATTTCGTTAAATTGGTTTTGCATTCTACAGTCATAAAGGCTGAAAAACCTGTTACCAGCACTTAGATATCTACAGTTCCAATTGACTGACATTTTACTGAAGTGGAGGCAAAATTATTAACATCCTCCCCCTCCCCCCAAGCAATAAATTAAAAAACATATACCAGAAAGGAAGTTGCACTAAAGTTTTCTAATTAAGTTAACTCTCTGAAGGGAATAATCATCCTTTATTTTCCTGTAAAATTAAGAAATCAAAATATCAAAGGACTTGGTACTACCTTCAAGTATTTTCACCAAATGGATTACTCTTAGGGAACTGAACAGTTTACACGGAAAAAAGAAACATCTGTTACACAAGCTTCTGGGATAAGCTCTTGTATAACCACACCTTCCGAGTCTGGGATTGCTCTCTTAACAAGGCACAAAGGGATTGTTGCTTTCAAAAGGTCCTTGTTCTCAGCTGCAAAGTCAGATGTCTTGTGCAAATGGAGGCTGAAAGCAGGACTAAGTTCACTTGGACACTGGGATGTTCCCATTCAATTAGTGAAACGGGGTGTTATTTCAACACCATTAATCTTGCTTACTGCTCACTGCCACCGCCTTCACTTCAGCCCTGCTGCCAGAATCAACTTCTGCATCATCTTCATTGTAAGTAGGTCCAGTTAAGACGAGGCAACAGACTGGTTTGCTGTACACTGCAAGGCTTTGTGCAGTGTGGGGAAGGGAGAGGTGTTACATCAGCCCTGGTGTGTAGCTGTGAAGCTTCTCAGCATTTCAGAGCACAGTGTCAGGGACAGTTACCTGCAGTAATGGGTAACAAGTCACTCTGTAAAAGGCAGAAGGCAAGTCGTGTAGATGACAAAGGCAACCAGATAGACAGCAGTGGAAAAACGACATAATTTTATAATTTCAGGATGCATGTCAGGGGGCAGCTGTATACACAGTAATTGAAATTACTTCCAGACTGCTTCCTCCTTTTGCACTAAGGTTCCGATCATGATCACAGGCTTATAACTGCAGTTGTCTTTGATATACATAGCTGTTCTGCCTCTGCCTGGGTCAGTCTGTCCAGCCACAAGCACCTTCCACTCTCAATTCTTTGAATGGATGACAGGTATCCAGACCAGAACTGCTTGGTATCAGGCCTGATCTCCAGTGCTGAACATTACAAAGCCAGTGAGCTGAGAGGAAAATGCCAACTTGCTTAAACACCCCTTATGTACTGACTGTCAAGTTTAGTCCAGCACCTTCTGTCCAGCCTTAGCTATCCAAAATTCAATTTGCTTTTATAATTCAGAAAAAACAGGCAATCTAAAGCTAGAACTTTTCCTCTGACAGCACTATTTAACTCTGTCCTTTTTTATTTCCTCTTTTTTTTCTTTTTTAAACACAAGTTACATTTAATTCTTTAATCTAAGGATGCCTCTGAACAGCATGGCCAGCACACACAGCAAATCCAGTCTTGTCTTTGAGCTATTCTGCCTCTGCCTGGGTCAGTCTGTCCAAATTACTTCCAGACTGCTTCCTCCTTTTGCACTAAGGTTCCGATCATGATCACAGGCTTATAACTGCAGTTGTCTTTGATATACATAGCTGTTCTGCCTCTGCCTGGGTCAGTCTGTCCAGCCACAAGCACCTTCCACTCTCAATTCTTTGAATGGATGACAGGTATCCAGACCAGAACTGCTTGGTATCAGGCCTGATCTCCAGTGCTGAACATTACAAAGCCAGTGAGCTGAGAGGAAAATGCCAACTTGCTTAAACACCCCTTATGTACTGACTGTCAAGTTTAGTCCAGCACCTTCTGTCCAGCCTTAGCTATCCAAAATTCAATTTGCTTTTATAATTCAGAAAAAACAGGCAATCTAAAGCTAGAACTTTTCCTCTGACAGCACTATTTAACTCTGTCCTTTTTTATTTCCTCTTTTTTTTCTTTTTTAAACACAAGTTACATTTAATTCTTTAATCTAAGGATGCCTCTGAACAGCATGGCCAGCACACACAGCAAATCCAGTCTTGTCTTTGATTTCCATTCTGTATCACACGCAACCAGAAAGTACCAGTACTAAGAGCAGGAATCACCATCTATGGTCTATTCTGTGCTAAGTTTTTACGAGCAACTAAGTTTTCTAAGGCAACGCAGAACAAGAATTTCAAATCCTCTACACTGAAGTGAGATTCAGTAGAGCTTGAAGTCAGAACCTCCAACTCACAGTAAAAGCACTCAGTATTATTCTTAACACAGCTGAGTATTTTGTCTGAATGGGAGAACCACTAACTCAGCACTTTCCCAAAATGATGATGGCAAACGTGGTGTGATGGAGGACTGCATCTCTGAATCCATGAGCATTTACCAGCAGTCCCAACAAAGTCAGCACCTTGCCCTAAGAACAACAGCTCGCATTTGTGTGATGTTGTACGACACGTCACGCGCTCACCCCAGGCAGAGAAGGGTGCACGTCTCCCACGCAGCAGTAAAGACACCTACAGCAGCTCCCTCACAAGCACTGCAGCACTGGGGAACAAAGGACACCGTCTCATTACCCAGCTGCAACTGTTGGCTTAAAAACAAGCAACGTCCTACACCAATGTGTGGAAAAAGGACAGAAAAGCTGTGCCTGCCTTGATCTGCAGCCTCACAAATGTTTAAGAAGGACAGATGATGGCTTTATCTTTTGTAATGTTTGTGAGCCCTACCACTCCAGTCCCTGCCCTAATCCTGCTTCTTGCCAGAAAAGGTCACGGATCACTTGTTACAAGAGAGACTGAAGATCCTTACAGTCCAACAGACCCTCCCTAGGCACAGCTGACAGAAACTCAGGTTGACAACACTCAGTGGAGAGCAGCCAAAAGCAGCAGCCTTACACCTTACTCCTGAAGAGCGGCTTGGCTCCCGGCCCGCAGTATTCATTGTAGATGAGTTTGAACAGAAACAAGTGAAACAAGGTGATTAAGGAGGCCACGCTGAACCAGAAGAGGAAGGGTAAACCTGGGTATTGCTTGGCCATGTGTTCCTCATGAGCCAGAATAGCTTTTAGATGGAGTGTGTGTCTCAGGTCCTGCAAGTGGACCAAATCTGTGGATATATAAAGCAGTGGCGTGATGGGCTGAGTCACCATGACGGGGAACGTGTGCCCTCGTGCCTCCGAGGTGAGCTCCACAGGCTCATTCATACAACCTGCCTCACACGCATACAGTCTGACTGGTTTGTCTTGGAATTTCACAGACACGTGCAAGAAGGGCTTTCCTTCAGCATCCAGCAGAACCGCCAGATTAATCAAATCCTTATTGTAATGGATCCCACGTAAGGAGTAGCTGTTATGAAGTACATCGGGGTCAGCCTGAAACTGAAGGTGGTTTTCTGTGAACTGCAGACCCCCAAAGCTAAGCACCATTCCCTGCATAAGACCATGGACTCCAGCTGCCACAAGACCCTTGCATCCTCGTTTCTGGAGAGTTAGCTTCCACAGGTCTGAGAGTTGCAAGATCTGGGTGACACTGGTCAGCTTTGCTGGCCACAGGTTCTCTGCGTGCATGGTCGCGTGGCCACTGAAGCAGTGGTCAGCATAGTTCATGCTGGCTTCCATTTTTTCTCTGTCCTCACCACTAATGAGCGGATCCAGCAGAGGAGCTGGCATGGTTGACAACACGTAGTAGAGGGTCATGTTCACAGTCTCACTGGATGGTGTGTGCAAATCTGTGATCTTTCTCATTTCAACTCCTGTAACAAAAGAGAACACCCAAGAGTCAGAAGATCACACGTGGACATGACATTAACTAGGAGAAAAAAAGATCCAATGTGCATGTTGTTGTTCAATACAGAGGCATTCCCTACACATAAGCACCCTTTGCCTATGAAACGTTGAAGTGTGGAATGTTCCCTTGTATTCTCTTAGATGCTCTCTCTCTGCTACTTGGGAGTTTGAAAGCCAAGCTCCCACTAAAGGCCAAGCAGTTTGATACACAGATGCCTTATGGAGCTGTCACCACAACCCTGCAAGAATCGTCTGTCAAAGGAACATCTGCCTTTTCACTGGCTAGTAAAATAGCAAGTTCCATATTACTTGGGCAGCTACTTTTTTATGCAAGAGCATGAAAATCTTATTTTAAGTAAAACCAGACTTGTAGGACAGTCTTTCACTTCCACTAAGAAATCTGCTCTTTATACTGTCACTAGAGGTCAACTCTATTTCCAACTTAGAGCTGACCCCCTGGGCAAATCAGTGAAGTTCCTGAAGACATGAAAGCCAGCACATCTAGAGTTACAAAGAGAAATGCTCTTCTATCGTTTCCTTTATGCAGTAACAAATACTCGACTTTTGTAAAGTGCAGTGGGTTCCAAACCAGGAACGCTGTTTTATTATCCTACAACATGCCCTTTGGCCCCTGAGAGAAATCAGCCAGGAGTAGTGGAGCAACCATGTCGCTGAGCTTCCTGCTGCCCTCTAAAGCAACCCTTTGGAAGCTGAGCATCACTCTCCTTACCTGAAATGAACAGGTCTGACCAGGTCTGCTGGTGCTCATGAAAAAGATCTTCCACTCCCATCTGCATCACTTCCAGCATCTCCTTCTTGGCCGACTCCCTCAGCTTGCTGAAGGTCTCCTCCAGCCTGGAGACCTCGATGGGCTCCGAGGTGTACACCACGGAGAGCACGGTTTCATCAAAGTGGGACTTGGGCGCGACCTGCACCCGGCTCACCAGCTTCTTGGCAGCCACCACCATGAGCACCACCTTGGGGCTGCCGGGCAGCAGGAGGCGGCCGGAGGAGAGCAGGAACTGCCGCTCCTCCGCCTTCTCCAGGCTGGTGGCGAAGCGGCTGCCCAGCGCGGGCGCGGAAGCCGGGGCCAAAGCCTCGAAGGCGGCCACCCGCTCGGTGGGGTTAGCGATGCGGATGCGCTGCAGGTAGAGGTGCGGCCGGCTGCGGTGGGCCACCACCTCCTCCCGCACGGTCACGCAGTCCCCGGCGCCCGCCCCGGGCCCCGTCTGGACGCAGCGCACCCGCCGCACGGC